ATATATATATATATATATATATATATATATATATATATATGTATGTATATAGGCACGGATATGATTAGAAAGTATGAAAAGACATTATACATATGACCAAATATGTTATTCAACATAATTATGTACAAAAGGAACATACATTGCCTTAAACGGTTGATAAACGGAAATTGGACAAATACATAAATAATTAATTGAAAATATACCAAAAATCAATTATTATTATTATACTCTTGATCATCATGTGGAAATGATTTCTATGTAAACTATATATCTTATTTCTATAATTATTATAAAAATGTAGATAATTGTAGTTGTGATACGAAATTCGTCATATATGATAACACAATTGATTATCAGATTTTAGGAATTATTACCTAATAAATTATACATCATACCAATTATGCAACTTATCGAATACTATGGAAATTGTTGGTTTTCATGTTAGTAGAAAACTGGAAAATGACAGACAATAAGATTTGAAAATATATTAAGTCTTATGAATCTCAAATACTAAAAGACTTAAGTCAAAATCATTCCTAAACACCAAAGAATTATAAGTATTCTAAAGTCTTATATCAGAGAGTTTAGGTTTATGATTCCTAGACATATTGTTAGGTTCCATCGCTCCCACGGGACGCTCTGTGTGAGCTATGTTATTTCTAAAAGCCTTATACTACAAGAAAAACGCGATTTTTCTAAGGAAGGATTCTGTTACGTAAAGCTGAAATTCCGTTGCAAAATACGAATAGCGACGGAATTTGCGACGACCGATTTCCGTCCCAAAAAACCCTATAGCAAGGGTTTGCTAGGGAAACAATCATTTCGTCGCAAATGTGACAACATAATGAAATCCGTTGTAGATGGTATTCCGTTGTGTATTCTGTAGTAGGATTACATCACAAATTCTGTGGTAGTGAATCCTTATCAAATTTCGTGGTGGTGAATCCCTAGAAAATTTTGTGGTGGTGATTCACTAAAAAATTATGTGGTGAGGAATCCCTATCAAATTTCATGGTGGTGAATCCCTAGCAAATTCCGTGGTGGTGAATCCCTAGCAAATTCCGTGGTGGTGATTCCTTATCAAATTCTGTGGTGATGAATCCCTAGCAAATTCCATGGTAGTGAATCCCTAGCAAATTCCTTGGTGGTGAATCCCTAGCAACTTCTGTGGTGATGAATCCCTAGCAAATTTTGTGGTCGTGAATCCCTAGCAATTTCTGTGGTGTATATTATATAGCAGATTCCATAACAAAGATTCCATAGGGACGGAAGGATAATCGATTTAGAAATTAAATCCAAATTAATCTGTAGTAATATATGAAAAACAAAAATAACAAAAAGAAATCAAATAACATTATATCATAAAATAATACACTAATTATTTATTACATGGAAAATCCCTACTAGTTTTGTTGTTCTCTAATAATATTAATAAGATCCATTGCCGATTTAAGTTGTTTATCAAGTTGCTCGACTCTTGTGTTGTATTGGTCTTCTTGGGCCTTCATTATTTCTTTAAGCTCTTCGTTTTGCTCTTTTTTTAGCAACAAGCTCCCTCAATTCTTCCATTTCATCATTTTTTCTGGAATGTAAGATACATCCATTTTACCATTAATCTTGGGAACTGCCTTTGCAAAAGAGCCTAATCCATAAAGTCTTCTTTTTTTTGTCATGCCCACCAATGACATCATAAAATATTTTGTCATCCTCAAATTCAGCACCTTCAGCTTCCAGCTCTTCTCGTTTTTATGTATAGGCCGCCTACAAAATAATAATAATTTAAATTAAAAGATATCAAAGTTATGAATGACATTAAGGACTAGTTACAATATAAAAATTTAATTGCACTGAAATGAATATTACATGAATTTGTTTATCATTTTCATTTGTAAATGTGACTCCATTGTGATTCTTCGTGTGTGTATATAGGAACAATTCACTATGGGGTGGATCACGTCCTAATTTCCTCTTCTGCATAAATACCATAAAATGTAAAACATACACATAAATATAAACATTGATGTACCATTAAAAAAATTACCAAATCAGAAGCTATCTTCATATTTTGCGGATCCAACGTTATGGGTAGGTTGTGTTATTCCATCAGCCACACCGTTACGCCTATTTTTCTTATTCTACTCAGATTTCAGCTTGTATTCATCTGTATTCCATTTTGCTTTCCAGTAGTTCAGAACTTCTTGTAAAACATGAGTTGGTTTAAATGAATGTGGGTTTCTTTGTCGGCTCCGCATGTTGTAGAGATATTGGCCATAACTTTGTGCCGCTTTACTTGCCCAAGCTTGTCATACCAACGAGTCTATTGTTTCACCCCAACATTATTTTTTCTACACATGAACAATATAAACATAAGTTTAAATGTAAATGTTTACCAAACAACAATTTATCACAAATAGTTAACTACCTGGAACTCCTCCCAATATAATTCGCGCATTTCTTAGCTTACTTTACCCCAAGTGTAGCCTTCTGGATCTACTCTTTGTAAAAAGGACCGACTAATAATGTGTGCACAAGGTCCTGGTGGCATGAGCCTGTAATAATCATGTGATCCTTTTAGTTTTGAATTGATATGTACGTGTACACCAAAAGGTTATACATAGAAAAAAGATGCAAGATATGATTGGCAACTCACTTTTTTTTGCCAAACATGAACAGTTAAACCTCCTTGTGGTCCACAATATTCAGTGTAAATGTTTTCACCTTCTACATTTTCCATAACATATCCATTCACGGTTGGTTATGTTGGTGATGGGGTAGATTATGGGGTAGGTATTGGGATAAATGTATATTTTGAGGATGTGGTAGTTCCTTTAAGTAAGGAGGATGTGGTAGTTACTATAGTTGTTGAGGATGGTAATGTCGATGAAGGTGTTGAGGTTGTGGTCGTAGATATAGGCGTTGATGATGTGGTAGTCGATGTAGGTGTTGAGGATGGTTACGAGGATGTAGGTGATGAAGTTTTGGTTGTAGGTGTAGGTGTTTGAAGATGGTATCGATGGTCCAGTTGCTGGAGTTTTAGATGTATTTGCTTAGGATGGTGTGGATATTGTAAGTGATGCTGAGGAAGTGGTAGTAATCGTTGGTGTTAATGATTTAGGTTTAGGGGTTTTGGTGCTAGATGTTATAGGTGCATTGGATGTGGTTGATGATTTTGAGAAGTCTACTTCTTCATCTTGTAATTTTCTGCTTATGAATTTTGTAGTTGAAGTCCTGTTGCGGTTCAAAACATGAGGTGCAATGAATTTAGTTGGCTTCACACGTGATGTTCCTTTTTGTTTCAAGTTTGACATCTTTCTTGCTTAAAAATAAACAAAAAACTATAGTCAGTACCAATTTATTAAAGATGATAAACTATTGATGAGCAGAGAATAATCATATAATAAAAATAAAGTATAGATGAAGGAATTACTACGCATGCATGCTACTGAATACTACTTTTGAATAATATTGTCTACTTCGTAAACATGTAATTAAAGTGCGGCAATCGTAGATTATGAAAGCAAAACCGATGTAGTTGTAATTTAAGATGATAATATATATGAAGCTGATCAAAGAACAAGAAATGACGATCACGAAAATAGTAAATTAAATAAAAATAAATTTTAGATGAGTGACAACCTATATCGCCAAAGTCAGTGCACAAACATAATGAAGAAATGTAGATTTCGATCAATTAGCCGCCGGAGATGATTACATAAAATGTGAAACCCTATTTCTAATAAGTTAACTTATCCTAATATGCAGCCTTAACGTCTGTAGGTTAGAAGGTTAGAGGGGAAGGAATAGCTAATTTTTTTAAAGCTCCACAAATGAAAATTTCAAATTGTTCAAATTAGCACTAAATAGATAGTAATTCAATTTTTTTAAAATAGTTCCAGTGAGATTGAAAGGGTATATACCATCAAGAAAAAACAAAGAGTAACAAGGTTTTCATACCATAATCTTAATTTCAATTATAAACGAGAAACAAAATTTATATATAAAAGGCGTATGGGTCATGGGTCATGTGTTAGTTGCTTATAGTGTCATAGTAAAGCCCATGGATGACATATGGGTCATGGTTCAATGTGGTAGTTGGTTATAGTGTCATGGTAATACCCATGGATCACATATGGGACATGGGTCAATGTGGTAGTTTCTTATAGTGTCATGGTAATACCCACGGATCACATATGGGTCAATGGTCAATGCGGTAATTGCCTATAGCTAGTGTTATGGTAATACCCATAGATGACATATGGGTCATGGGTCAATTTCGTAGTTGCATATAGTGTCATGGT